AAGAATCTGCCTGCAGTGCAGGAGAAATGGGTTCGATCCCTGGGTCAGGAAGATCCCCCGGAGAGGAAAGGGCAACCCACTCCAGTATTCTTGTCTGAAAACTTCCATGGACAGAGGAGCCTGGAGGACTGCAGGCCATGGGGTTGCAAACAGAGTCCACGGGGGAGCAACTGAGCAAGCATGCCAAAAGTCAAAAGTAGATGATGCTGCCAGTTAAACTGTGATCCAGCGCTTTATTATCACTTCAATTTTTCTTCTAATTTTAGACATTCTTTTAGACTTTAGACAATGATTTTTATCATATATTACACAATTCTGTTTCTGCGCTTTTCTTCTAACACCAACTTTGTTTTACTGGTGAATCACATTATCATCTTTCTGAAGACATTTTTATGGCAGTTAAAACTCAACCAGTGAAGGATTAGCCAGAACTCAATTGAAACTACAGTGTAAACAACTAAGACCAGATTTGTTGATGTGCAAGCAGAGCCAATAGTGATTCTAAGATGTATCTCAGTTTCATAGAAAAGATGAAAACTAATTTGATTTATTGAGTCCCTTTGCTTCCTAAGGTGTTTTCCTGAAAGTTTGTTGATACTTAAAATTCTTTCATAAAGACTAGTGCTTTTATTTCACCAGTAGAAATGCAGAGCTTAGAAAGTAAACATTTGGATGAAGTACTATGTTGCTTACAATTTTTTCACAGTTTTTAAAGGTTTATTTCATTTATAGTTAATAATATATTGGTTATATTCCCTGTATTTTACAGTATCTCCTCATAGCTTATTTATTTTTTACATACTAGTTTGTACCTGCTAATGCCTACTCTCCCTTTCCCTCTCCCTGATGGTAACCACTACTTTGTTCTCTGTTATCTATGAGTCTGTCTTCTTTTAGTTATATTCATTAGTTTGTTTTATTTTTTGGATTCCACATACAAGTGATGGCATATAGTATTTGTCTTCCTCTGACTTATTTCACTTAGCATCAATAACCTCTAAATCCGTCCATGTTGTTGCCCATGGCAAAATGTTCTTTTTATGGCTGAGTAGTATTCCATTGTATGTATGTACCACTTCTTTTTCTCTCTCTCTCTCTTATTTTTTAATTGGAGGATAATTGCTTTACAGTATTGTTAGCCTCTGCCATACGTCAACATGAATCAGCCACAGGTATACATATGTCCTCTCAAATACAGTTTAATTCATCAGTCCATCAAAAGTCTTTCTTCCACCCAAAACTCTCCTCTAGGCTGTAGATCATTATTTCCTGTTTTTTGTTTGTTTGTTTGTTTTTGTTTTTGTTTTTGTTTTTTTAAATGTTAGCTCATATCTTTATTAGCCAATATACAATTACTTGTCTTCTGGTTTGTTGAAACAATAGGTCAGACAACATTTGCCACAGTAATGTCTGTCGAAGTGACTGGCCATAAAAACTCCATCACCACATTCATCTGAGGGACACTCCCGGCGAAGGCGACTGATTTTGCCATTCTCATCCACCTTATAGTATTTCAGAACAGCCAATTTAACCTTCTTTCTCTTATGCTTGTTCTTCTTGGGAGTGGTGTAAGACTTCTTCTTCCTTTTCTTAGCACCATCACGAAGTCTCAACACTAGATGAAGAGTGGACTCCTTTTGAATGTTGTAGTCAGACAAGGTACGTCCATCTTCCAGTTGCTTGCCAGCAAAGATCAGTCTTTGCTGGTCAGGAGGAATTCCTTCCTTATCCTGGATCTTGGCCTTTACATTTTCTATTGTATCCGAGGGTTCGACCTCGAGAGTGATGGTCTTCCCCGTCAGGGTCTTCACAAAAATCTGCATCTTGGCGGCGGTTCCACCGCAGATGGCGGATCCGAAAAGTATTTCCTGTTTTAAAATGTCCATCTCCTCCCAGAAAATGTCCAGATTCTTTAGCATGGCCAATTTTTTAGCATGGCCATAGAAGCCCGATTCCGTCCTAACCTATTTGTCATGCTTATCTTGTGTTATCTTTTTCTCCCCATGTCCTTGCTTACATCCACCTCCTCCACGAAATAATGTGTCCTTTGCTCCCACTGCACCCACTTTGTTACCCTCCTACTTTGCAGTCTCCTGCATTTCGTTTTGTTTCTCTGTTCCATCAATGTCAACAAACCCCAGAGTTCTATCACTGTTCTTCTTACTAAGATGTGCATCTTACCTCATCTTGTTTTATGGCTTCAGCATGAAGTACCCTTTTTCACTAAGCCAGTTTTAATGTAGAAATATATATAGTCATAATTCAAACAGTACAGAAGGAAAATTCAGCAAATACCAAGTCCTCCCTGCTCACTTCACCCCATCTCTGAACATCTCTCTACTGAGTGTCCTGCTTCAGTGGCACTGACTTGGTACAATCTCTTTATCTCTCATCTGATTATTTTAGTAACCATCTGCTTCACCGTCCTCTTTGCTTTAAGCCCTCCACCTTGTTGCCAGAGTGCTGTTTCTAAATATAAATCTGTTTTCTTTCTTCCACAGTCAGAGTCGTCTGTTTCCTAAGAATAATGATATATAAAAGTATCCTTATCCAAGCCTTGCCTGCCTACCCACCCAGTTCCCTCTTACATTACACAATACACACACACACACACACTCACACACATACACACTCACACTCACACACACTCACACACACAGTCACACACACACACACTCACACTCACACTCACATTCACACTCCACCATGCGCCCCCCCCCCGTACATAACTATGTGTGCTTTACTTGTTATTCTCCAAGCGTTCCATGCTATTTTATGTCACCATGCTTTTGCACATTCTGGTCTCTGCCCAGCATACCCTTGTCTACATCACAGATACATGTCTTTCAAGATCAGTTTCAAGTATCACCTATTCTTTTAAGCCTCCTTTGAACCCCAGGTTACATATCCCCATCATGCCATACATACCTCTCTCTCCACCTCTCTCTCTCTCTCTCTCTCATATATATACACCTATATATGTGCACACACCCACACATTCATATAATTAGTGACCTGGCTGTTTGTAAGCTATAATATATGTTTTTATTGGTCTCAGTATTTCCACCATTTAGTACAGTTCTTATTTCTAGTAGGTAGTAAATAGATATTTGTTGAAGGATTAGTTTCCAGTTTTGATGGGACAAAGTATGCTTTTTGTTATATACTGAACCAGAGCTGAGTATATATATCATCTCTACCCACCACCACCGTGAAAAAAAATGCTCCAGTTGCATGGGATCAGTAGAATCATCAGCCTTTATTAAAAACACTGTGGAGTTTTTTCTTTTGGCTTGTTTTGTTTTAGGGCAAAATGGCTATAAAACTAAGAGCTGAGTAATAAAAAGGTATAATAAAGGTCAGAACATCTTACATGTCTGTAGCATTTAAATCATCTTGCTATATTCATTTGCCATTAGATTATGAAAACCATGGGCTTTCAGGTGGGACAGACTGACTTAATCTGTCTCTAGGCAAGTTATTTAAACCTCAATTTTTTGATGTGTAAGGTAGGAGTAATAATACTATATCCATGTTTGCCCTAAGAATTTGAGATAACCCAATCTAAAATAAGCACCTAGCACACTGACATGTTAAATCACTCAGTAAATGCTGACAGTTTAGGTGTTTGTTTGTTTTTTACCCTTTGTATCATTTATTTTTCTCTGGGCCATAGTATTGATGAAATAAATATTTTATTAATAAAGATAGCATGTTTTATGAAGCAACAGACAAAGGATTAATCTCAAAAATATACAAGCAACTCCTCCAGCTCAACTCCAGAAAGATAAATGACCCAATCAAAAAATGGGCCAAAGAACTAAACAGACATTTCTCCAAGGAAGACATACAGATGGCTAAAAAACACATGAAAAGATGTGCAACATCACTCATTATCAGAGAAATGCAAATCAAAACCACAATGAGGTACCATTACACACCAGTCAGAATGGCTGCTATCCAAAAGTCTACAAGCAATAAATGCTGGAGAGGGCGTGGAGAAAAGGGAATCCTCTAACACTGTTGGTGGGAATGCAAACTAGTACAGCCGCTATGGAAAACAGTGTGGAGATTTCTTAAAAAGCTGGAATTAGAACTGCCATATGACCCAGCAATCCCACTTCTGGGCATACACACCAAGGAAACCAGATCTGAAAGAGATGCGTGCACCCCAGTGTTCATCGCAGCACTGTTTATAATAGCCAGGACATGGAAGCAACATAGATGCCCATCAGCGGATGAATGGATAAGGAAGCTGTGGTACATATACACCATGGAATATTATTCAGCCATTAAAAAGAATACATTTGAATCAGTTCTAATGAGATGGATGAAACTGGAGCCCATTATACAGAGTGAAGTAAGCCAGAAAGATAAAGAACATTACAGCATACTAACACATATATATGGAATTTAGAAAGATGGTAATGATAACCCTATATGCAAAACAGAAAAAGAGATACAGATGTACAGAACAGACTTTTGGACTTTGTGGGAGAAGGCGAGGGTGAGATGTTTCAAGAGAACAGCATCGAAACATATATATTATCTAGGGTGAAACAGATCACCATCCCAGGCTGGATACATAAGACAAGTGCTCGGGCCTGGTGCACTGGGAAGACCCAGAGGAATCAGGTGGAGAGGGAAGTGGGAGGGGGGATCTGGATGGGGAATACATGTAAATCCATGGCTAATTCATGTCAATGTATGACAAAACCCACTACAATATTGTAAAGTAATTAGCCTCCAACTAATAAAAATAAAATAAATTTTAAAAAAAGATAGCATGTTTTAAAAGAAATAGTAGTTCCATCATTGGAGTACATTATGCTTATTTTGCCTGTATGAAAATATTCAGAATGAACTATCTGAATGAATTTTAACAGAATATAATAAGATTTTTTAATGATAATATAAGTAATTTCTATGAAGAGATGCATGGTACTAAAACTGCAAATCTAAAGAGTGGTAAGGAGTCACTACCTCCCCACCGAGCCAGCTCCGCCGGGCAGGGCCGGGAGGGAGTGGGACAGAATCTGGGAGTGCATCGGGGAGGAGTTCTGGCTGGGCTGAGCGCAGGGAGCTGCTTGGCAGTGCCAGAGCCCAGGCCCCAGAGCCCCGCAGGAGAGGAAGTGGACCGAGAAGGCAGGCCCTGTGAGGCGTGAGGCAGTGAGATGGCAGATTCGTACACGGAGCTGGAGAAGGCGGTGGTCGTCCTGGTGGAAAACTTCTACAAATACGTCTCCAAGCACAGCCTGGTCAAGAACAAGATCAGCAAGAGCAGCTTCCGGAAGATGCTTCAGAAAGAGCTCAACCATATGCTGACGGACACGGGGAACCGAAAGGCTGCTGACAAGCTCATCCAGAACCTGGATGCCAACCACGACGGACGCATCAGCTTTGACGAGTACTGGACCTTGATAGGCGGCATCACTAGTCCTATCGCCAACCTGCTCCGCCAGCAGGAGCAGCAGAGCAGCAGCTAGAAGCCCCCCGCCATCCCTGCCCCCATGCCCCCCACGCTCCCTCCCTAGGCTCCTCTGCCCACCAGGCCCCGTCCTCTCTTCTCCCTCTAGACCCTCTTCGGACCTTAGCCGAACAGGGTAAGGGGAAACGTCAGGGCCCCTCTGTGAGTGTCTCAGCCGGGGGCGCCTCCCTGTGGGTCTCCGTCCTTGGAGCCAGCGGACCCTGGGGCCCCTCTGTGACAATGCTGTGTGGGGACCCATGAGTTTCCCTACCTGCTCAGTCCGTCTACCCTGCTGACTTCCGATGTTCCTGCCTGATTCCGGGCTTCTCCCGACCTCAGCTTGCTGCTTCAGGCCTCCGGGTTCCTGGCAGCACCAGCAAGGACTTCTCTCTCGCTCTCCCCTCAGCTCCTCTGCTGGGTGGAGGAGACTTCCAGGGATGGTCCTCCAGCTGCCTCTGGGTCTGGGAACAGGGTTGAGCCCCCTTCCTCCTCTTGAGCCACTGAAATGGGAAAAAGGCTGGATCTAGAGTTTTCCTCCCCCTCACCCAGTCCCTTTGTCATGTTTATTAAAGCCTTTCTATTCCTTGGAAAAAAAAAAATAAAGAGTGGTAAGTTACTCTTAATTGAAAAAGTATATTTAATTGCATACAGACATAGCATTTTAGGAGCAGTATGGAAAACTGCATACTTTAAAATTAATAAAAACTTCAGAATAACCAGAACTTTTATGTTTAGAGAACATGAATTACTGATAAAAATTCAACTAATTTGTTGAATCATTGTATAGAAAAGCAAGAGTTAAACAGTAGTAATATATAATGAGATAATTAACAGCACCAATAACATAGTCTTTATTAGAAATTTTAAGTAGATACTTTTATAAAATCAAAATTATTTTGTGAATAAATAATAATAATGGCTAGCAATATCAGAGAAGAATGAAAGAATCAGAAAAATGACTCAGATGCAAAGTCTGTCCAGTTCACTCAGGTTCCTGGTGAATATGGTATTTGTCTTAGTAACATACTGCAAACTGTAACATATGATCCCTCCACTCCTCAGATCTAAAAGATCTGATCTAAAAAGATCACTTTTCACCAAGCGATCAAACTCTCAGTCAACTGGCTCCAAAGTTGACCTGCAACAGATTTGGGTTTGGACTTATTTGAATATAAACTTGATCCTTTTTAATTAAAGATATAACTACCACATGGACAAATAACTTTTATCTTTTTTTGACCGTGACCTATAGTAAGAAGTGCATCTTAATATCATCCTAGTATGTACATATGTATATATATTTTGCTTGTGTGCATGTGAATATATAGGTGTGTGTGTGTATCTGAAATGATTTTCCCAACACAGCGAATACCCTTACTGCATTCTATTAGTTCCTATTCTGTTCTGTTTCTTTTTTCTTTTAATACTGTTTGCAACCCACAGTGTGGAAACACTCATCTGGACAGGCATGTAGCACATTTTTTCTCCCTAAGTCAGCCTTCTCGAGAAATCAGTTTAGGGGTTAAAAAGAGAGGAAAGGTGAAGAAGTAAAAATGAGTAAAGTATATTAGAGAAATAGGGAGTCATCTGGTGTGACTATAATATAAAAATGTGTAAGCTTCCCAGTTGTATGTATCTATTATCTTCAGGAGCAATGCTAATCTAATCTATCATTTTGAATTAATAGTGTAATGGTGAAGCAGTTGTTATACTTTTCTGTATTTTTATTCTTTTTCAATCAGTTTTTTCCATTTTTTCAGCATTGCCCCTTGAACAGTCTTGAACAGATTCACTGTGGTTTCTTCCATTGGTTGGAATTAGTACCATTTACAGATGTGAGTAATTTCAGTCTGTAACTTTTCCTCCAAATTATTTAGAATACGTATGTATGACTGTGAATCAGAGAACCCCATTATTTACCTTCTTTATCAAGCCTTTGTCTTCCCAAAGAGGCAGCCCTCTAATTCCGGGGTGATTCCTTTCTTAAAATAAATCTTGTTACAAACTTTATTTATTTCAAAGGCCTCATATTCATGTTTTAACATTTTTATCACTAAATTGCAGGTATTATTCCTGACAAACTCCCAACAAATAGCAGGATTTTACATTATAGAAACTATATTACTTTCCCCCCCAAAAAATGTGTTTCCTTATGGCGCTTCACAACAGAAAGGACTATGTTAGAAAAATCTATAAAGGTAATGTTACTGTAAAATGTTTTAATCTATTCCATACCATTCAACCAAGCATAAGAAATGAACTATTTTAGTAAATGATTTTGTCAAGTGTTAGATAGTATTGATATGAAATTGTCTGCCAGCAAATATGTATTGAACGCCAACTGTGTGCCGGGCATTGTTCTAAGCCCTGGGACTAATCAGTGGAGAAGACAGACAAAAATTCCTGCCCTTGCCCTTTGGAACTTGTGTTCTACTGAGTGGAGAAACAAGAATTTTTTGCAAGTAAAAGATATACTCAAGTTATATAATAGAAGGGAGAACTCAAGTTATATAATGGAAAGTAAAGCAGGAAAGAGGATAGTGACTGTGACTGCCTATAGTCACAGCCACATGGGCACACAGAAGACATAAAATGAGGGCCATGGTTCTCATGTGTCTTCTGAAAGTGGCCAAAGCAGCAGGGAAGCCATCACAGTCTAAGTCCCACGTCAACAGGGGTGCCCAGGTAGAAGCAGTCAGATGTTTTTAGCATGGGAGAATGGCTGTGAAGCAGATTTCTTTGTGGTAAATTGGTCACATTTCTTCACTACTTGTATGTGTGCCTGTGCATGCACGCTTCTAAGCCACATTCTTTATTTGGGGGAAAGTAAGGAAAAGAATTCTTTTTTTTTTTTTTTCTATTTATTTTTATTAGTTGGAGGCTAATTACTTTACATCATTGCAGTGGTTTTTGTCATACATTGAAATGAATTAGCCATGGATTTACATGTATTCCCCATCCCGGTCCCCCCTCCCACCTCCCTCTCCACCCGATCCCTCTGGGTCTTCCCAGTGCACCGGGCCCGAGCACTTGTCTCATGCATCCAACCTGGGCTGGTGATCTGTTTCACCCTAGATAATATACATGTTTCGATGCTGTTCTCTTGAAACATCCCACCCTCGCCTTCTCCTAGAGTCCACAAGTCTGTTCTATACATCTGAGTCTCTTTTTCTGTTTTGCATATAGGGTTATCGTTACCATCTTTCTAAATTAGGAAAAGGAATTCTTATCTGTCCACATTCTGGGCTGGTCTGACATTATATTGCTTCCTTTTCATTATTGAGAGGTAATAATGAGTACTGGCAAAACACATGGTACCAGAGCCAGACTCACTGGGTGCAAACCTCATTTTTGGTAATTTACTAGCTGTATAAAGTTGGGTCAGTTGTTTAACCCTTCTGTGTCTCACTGTCCTCATTTGTAAAATACGAAGTTCCAAGTAAACTGTTTAATTGAAATTTGATCAGAGTGGACTACTTTTGGTTTTTAAGACAGATTATGTTTTGTAACTTTAATACAGGGGGGGAAAGAAAAGCAAGGGAGAAAAAAAAATAACTTTTAAAGCAGAGACAGTCTGAAGAGACTACATACTATCATACTGTGTTTCCAAACGTATGACACTCTGGAAAAGGGGAATTTTATGAAGACAGTAAAAAGATCAGTGGTTGCCAGGGATTAGAAGGGATTTACAGACAGAACTGCAGGGGTTATTAGGGCAGTGAAACTATTCTTTATGATGTAAACAGTGGATACATGGGATTACAGTCAGTCCTCCATATCCACAGATTCCACACTCATGGATTGAATTCAACCAACTGTGGATCAAAAATACTTGGGAAAATAAAATCCAGAAAGTTCTGAAGAGCAGAACTTGAATTTGCTGACACTAGCAACTATTTCCATAATATAATTGCATATATAGTTACATAGTATAATCATATTAGGTATTATAAGTAATCTAGCTATATTTTAAAGTATACAAGAGGATATGTGTAGATTATGTGCAAAGACTATGCCATCCTATTTTCTGTAACCAACTTGAGCATCTTTGGACGTGAGCATCCATAGGGGATCCTGGAGACCAGTTCCCTGTGGATTCCAAGGGACAAACATGCATTTGTCAAAACCTGTAGAATATACATCACCAAGAGTGAACCCTTGGTGATTTAAGCTGTGGACTTTGAGTGATAATAATGTCTCAGTGTAGGTTCATTAATTATAACAAATGGTGATGGCCGTGGGGTTGGGGGCAGGCAGAGAGTATCTGGGACTCTGTACTTTTGCTTAATCTTGTCGAAACTCAAACCGCTTTAACAAAAGTCTTTAAAAAGTAAAAAGGAAGAAAGAAAAGAAATCAAACAGGAAAGAGAATGAAATCTGAGAACTGCAGAGAAAAGACAGAAGAGGAAAGGAAGGAGTGGGGAAGATGTCAGTGACTCACTTCCTGTGAAGGTATCCTGGCCGCCTTTTGTCACTTGTGCGATTTGTCAGTCCTTAAGCTGTTTTTGTTGATAGCAGAAAAATACCCCCTGGAAAGTAATATTGTCTAGAGAAAAATGAACAGAACTTACTTTTTGGTAATGTTAAAGAATTTGGGAGAGACAGAGATTTCTGTGTGTCTGTGTGCATTTCATGTTGGTGTGTTACCCCTTGTGAAGTTAGTGTTAACATAAATTTATGGATGCACAATATGTAGTGTAATTGGACATGTGGATAATTGTTGATGGGTGATAGTTTCATAAAGACTTAAAGTTGTTGGAACAACAAGCAGTGTTCATGGGTGTTACATGACAGAGTCAAAACAATACCAGAAATTGCCTTTAACATATATAAATTAGTCATTATCTTATTTTTTGAGGTTCCAGTGCAGAATTATATAGAAATTAACATTTTATTTTAGTACTGATAAACATATTTACCCTGCGAACGGCTGATTCACTACATGAACAAAACATTAACTTTAATTGTAGTACATCTCTGTGTCTAAATTTGCCAAGGGCTTAAACCAAGATGTCTCTGTTATAGTTCATTCTGGAAAAAAATTCAATCACATGGATCCAAGACAATATACTAGAATTTGTTCTTTAATCCATCTTTTTAAAGGCTCACAATACCAGATCATATGAGTATGTGTATGAGTGTGTGTGTGTATGTGTGTGTGTGCGTGCACATGCCAAATGCCAGTCACCACTGAAGTAAGGAAAAACAATGATTTATTTATAAATTATATCCTGTTTACATATCAAACAGGTATTGTAACTGTTTAAACTCTTTCCCTTACTGGTGTGCTTTTATAAATTCATAAATGGCTATAATTTTTTCTTTCAAGAGCTATTACAAATCACATTGTAAATCCCTCCTCCCCCATCAGCACTGTTGTACAAGTGAACCACATTAAAATGAATTTCTCAGGGGTAGCTTTGAGGGGGAAAGAAATTTAAAGCACTTGAACTTGAAAATTCCATTCTCTGACGCTAATCACCGGCTCTTCCAGCTCTCCCAGTTCTTCCCACCCTCCCAGTCTTTTCATTTCCACCACATCTGTGCTTTATTTGTACTCATAAACTCTTTGCATTTCCAATCTGTCAAACCCCTTGGC